CCGTTCATTTCTACACACAAAAGTTGTACACCGCTCACTTGTACACCGCTCAGATGTACACCGCTCACTTGTACACCGCTCACTTGTACACCGCTCACTTGTACACCGTTCACTTGTACACCGTATACAAATGATGGAAAATTATCTGCTTTACAGAACAGTTAATCAGGGTTAAATATATATAAATATCCCGATTCATCTAGAGTCACAGTTTGCTTGAAATTCCATGTTATAAACACTCGAAACCCATCTAGAATCACAGTTTGCCTTAAATTTCATGTTATAAAGACGGTGTACAAGTGAGCGGTGTACAAGTGAGCGGTGTACAAGTGAGCGGTGTACATCTGAGCGCTGTACAAGTGAGCGGTGTACAACTTTTGTGTGTAGAAATGAACGGTGTACATTTTTACGTGTCTAATTGCACCGTGCCGAAAATTTATTTTCTGTGTCCAAAAATCACTGTGTCTAAAATTTCTGTGTCTAAATGAACCGTGTCCAATTGAACCATGTATACCAAAATGTGTCCATTCGAACCGTGTCTATTTGCAGCGTGTCCAATTGTACTGTGTCCAAGTGAAGGCCACTCGCCACCCCTGCCTCCGCCCGAAATAGTTCCGCGAGCAACGCGTACAACACGATGCGGAAGAGGAATCTCCGCTTTTCGGGCGCGCGCGGAGAAGACGGGGAAACCTTTCTGTTGCGCATCGAGGAGGGCCGCGGTATCATCCCCGTCTCCGACGCTGACCTATTTCAGTGCCTGCCATTCTTTTTGACGGGTATGGCGCTGAGTTGGTGCCGGACCAAGCGCGATCGCTTCGAGACGTGGCGCGCCTTCAAGGCGGCGTGGCGGACGCGCTTCGGTAGCCCGGACTTCCAATTCGCGCTGCGGGACGAGATCATGCGGCGCACGCAGGGCGAGAGCGAGCCCGTCGCGGACTACTTCACGTGCATGAACACGCTCTTCAACCGATTGTCGCCGCCTTGGAGCGAGGAAGAAAAAGTGGGGTACGCGCTCCGTCACATACTGCCGCGTTTGCAGGATCGCGTGAGCCGCGAAAACGCCACCGACCTCGACACGCTAGAGCTCCTGGCCGTACGGGCCGAGAGCCGTTATACCGCTGCGCTGAGCTATCGCCCGCCGCCGCTTCCGGAAAAATCGCTCTTTCCCGATCTCGCGTATCGACCGCCGAAGGGGCGTACCGGGGGAAGTGCCGGGGCCGTGGCCGCGTTACAGGTGTCGGGCGCGAACGAAACGGGGGCCGGTGTCCCCGCGCGGGGAGGAAAGGGGAAAGGAAGGGGACCCCGCGAGACGAGCGCCGGGACGCCCGCGATTGCCGCCGCGGACACCGCAACCGGAGGCGCGGGGGGCGCGCGCGCTAGAACGCGAAAGTGTTGGAACTGCGACGCGGAGGGACACTTCGCCCGGGATTGCCCCCAGGAGGAGCGGATACATTGTTATCGGTGCGGCCGCCTCGACGTAACCGTTCGAACCTGCCCCAAGTGCGCGGGAAACGAGTGAGGGTGTCGAAAGCCGGGGGCACGTCGACTCCTTCGCTTCCCGCCCCCCGACGATCCCTCCCCGCGGGGGGAGGCCCCGGATACGACACCGGCGGTCGTGTACAGCGCCTTCGGCGCGGAGGGTCCGACGCCGCTCACGTTTCTCCGGATCGATCTTGCCGGGCGGGAGGTGCGCGGATTAGTGGACTCCGGATCGAGTCGCACGTTCGTCGGTCCCGAAATAATCGGGTGGCTCCGAGCGGCGGGATGGAGCTTCGCCCCGACCACGGGGCAACGCGTGACCATGATGTAAAGATACAAGGTGTAACGTTCCGATGGATGCGCAGTCGTTCTTTTTCTTGGACCAATCAGAATGTGTCCAAGATGCAAAAACCAATATGGCCCCTGCCTTTGTGAAAGCTGACAGGAGTGATAGGTTACGTTAGCCGCTGCACGCTTTTCGTAGAAGGTTCGTAAAAAAAATATTCCTTAAATGCGTAAAACATAAAATAAATAAATTCATGCCAAATATACTAAATTTATTAACCTTCTTTTAGATTTTATTTATAATAAAAGTCATGCCAACGTGTTGCGTGAAAAATTGTAAGAGTCATACAAATAATATGTTTCTTACAAAAGATATCAAACATTTTAGTTTTCCCAAAGAAATAGCTATTCGTCAGCAATGGCTTAATGCTTGCCAAAGAAAAGAAACCGAGATCAAAGTCGATTCGGGTAAGTTAATGTTAAGAAAATGACATTAATGTTTCAACTTCCATCTCAACACAATGTCATTGTTACATATATCTACCTGTGTTATATTATGATATAAATTATATCATATAATATATTTATAGCAAGGATATGCAGTATCCACTTTGAAGAGAATTGTTTTATACTGGAGAAGACACAACCCCGATCAAAAAGTAAACCAGCAAAGGAAGTTTTAAGATTGAAAAACGGATGTATCCCAACAAAAATATTAAATTTAGAAAAAAAAGAAAAGTACAATATCGCAGAGCAAGAAAGATGATAAAAAAATTAAAGTACCGTAAGTAGCAAACTTGGAGAAGGTGGATCGCCAGTGGGTGAAGAAAAATAACTAAAGATG